GTGCAGGTTTTACACCTACAAATCCATGGCTAAAGCAGCAGATCACAAACAGCTATACATGGATAAAAGTAAGAGAAGGACAAGTCTAGATACAATATGAGAGATTACTAATCTTTAATTTTCATAATGTAGTGCCATTGGTGAATCCAGCCCAACAAATAACCAAATAAAGCAGACTGACCCCTCCAAATCCACGGAAGCGAGCCAGCACTTGATTGTTGATGAAGCAGCTCTGGACAGGGTTGGCCAGGGCCTGGTCCAGCAGGTGGTTGATGAAGTATATGCCAGGCTCCACAGTGAGGACCATCCTCTCCTGCACCAGGCGGCCCATCCGAAGACTCCTCAGTCCAGGCTCATCGATACGCTCAGCCCCCTGGACAGTAGTACACCTTGTTAAAACTCAGCTACATGGTTTAAAAAAAAGATCTCACCAGTAAAACGTTTTCATAAGAGTAATGAGATTGTTATTTTAATTGTTATTATGGATGAAAAACACAAGAATATCAGAAGCACAGGCCAGCCTCAGGAAACTGCAAATACAGTTGGTTTCATGTATTTTTAACATTTTTGCTGAGACAGATTGAGCACTTAAAAGATTTTTCAACACAGATAAAAAGCAAAGTAAATCCTAGTTCAAACTGATTACAAATGAATGATATCAGTTCATTAAGCCATGAAATAAAAAGCCATTTCATTAATCTTCTGTGGGTCTGAATGTCATACTTACTGAAAATATCAAACAGTATTGTTTGTCATGTATATCATCTGCAGAATTTGGCCAAGCACTTTATTCACATTCAGCATGACCACACGATGCACTCACAATGTCAGAAGTGTGCAACTGTACAAAATCATCCACCACAACCCGAAACTGTCAGTGTTCCAACAACATTCCGCCTTCCTCTCTCTCCTACTCTCATCTTGAACTTGTTCCTTCAGCTTATGTTTCACTCTCACTCCTCCACTTAGTGTCTTTCTATTACTGATGATGTACTATAACTGGAGGAACAGGACTGTGTTGTCTTCTCTCTGGAGACTCTGATTGTTCCTACTGGTGGGTGTGATGTGGGTGAACCGGTATTGAAGCTATCTGCTCTTACCTCAGGGTAGCCTCCCACATCATGCACATCAATGCCCAGCAGGTGTCCCAGGCCGTGGGGCATGAACACAGAGCCCAGGTGGACCTTCAACATGTCCTCCACACTGCCATTCAAGATGCCGATCTTTATCAGCTCTTCCAGGTGAACCCGGTCAGCCAGGCGGTGCATGTCAGTCCACTTCACACCTAATAAGGAATAGATGTTTCTTCGACCTCAACTTTAAATTTAAATGCCCAACTTCTCCAATCCACATGTCAAAGTGTCCATAGGCAAGACGCTGAACTCTAAGTTGCTCCCTTTGTTACCACTGGGTGTGTGAGTATGGGAACGTTTGCGTGTATGCGAATGGGTGAAAGGGATAATAATGTAAAGCTTTTTGACTAAGCATCAGTGTGTAGAAAAAAAGCGAGTCCTTTTAACATTTAAGATTCCAGAAAATGAAATTCCAAGTAAAAAAAAAAAAAAAAAAAAAGCTCAACTTTGCTTAAAACTTTGAAATTTACGATCTTTACAAGCTCTTCAAGTGCAATAATATCACAGTGGTCATTCTAAAGATTTTTACTTTACAACAGCAAAAAAATCCTACAAATTGCAAACAAAAAAAATCTGAAATGAATGCTGTACTGGTAGTACTTTGAAGGGAAGAGTAAATTTTAAGTACTGTCCTCAATTTACTTTATAGATCAGTAAAAATATACTTGATAGTTAAAACCTGTGATGCTAACCTGGTTTGATGGCGGCCATGACAGCTCGGGAGGACCTGAGGACGGCCTTGTAGATCGCTTTCTGGTCTTGAGTGAACTTGCCATTGGCTGGGAAGGAGCAGGTGATGTCGGATGAGTAGCAGTAGTACTCTCCACCCATGTCAAACAGACTGCAGGGCACACAATATCAGAATTGATTCAATCAAATTATTTTCAAATTGTTTTGGGTTCGTGTCTCCAGTGTTTGAGTTGTTTAGAGTACAACAAACAGTAAAGACACCAACTATTACAATTTAAAACAGGAGTATCACAGAGGGGCTGTGAAGTTAGGCATGTGAGAAAGTGGCCTGGGAATGAAACAGCTCCCCCTTTAGGAAAATCTGCAGACTTTGAGAGCGAGTTAGGATAATCACCTTTATTGGCCAAGTATGTTACACACAAGGAATTTGTTTCTGGTACAGAACCGAGTCAGCCATCTGCAGCGCCAACTCATCCGATGGCTCTAACCATTGGGGGCAACAGGGGGTTCAGTGTCTTGCCCAAGGACACTTTGACATGTGGACTGCAGGCACTGAGATTCTAACCTTAAACCTTCCAGTTGGGAGACAACTGCTCTACTCACCGCACTGTCGCCTCCCAAGCCAGTACCACGAGGTGCTTTCATCTGTAAATAGGTTGAAGTGAAAAAACTACTGTAAGCTACTCACCACATGTCTCCATCTGTAATTGTCTTGTCATTAGGAGCTCCAGCATGGCCATAGTGGAGGACAGATGAATTATCGCCCCTGGTGTTGAACATAAATAAAACGAAATTAAGAGAAATAGTATAACTACATATGAATACCTTCTACACTACAAGGTGGTAAATGCATTTTGTCCGAATTACAAAAAAGCCACTGTTAAAACAGAATTAAACTGTGTATTTCAGGACAGCATGCTCCTCATTTTTCCAAGATCTTGATTTGCTCAGGAAAAGAACTTGCATCCCTGACCACTATTACCCCAGGAGAGTATTCATTACATGTGACCTTTAATACAAAAGCCCAGAGCATGATTAGCAACATCTCAAAATTCTTCATCCATAATGATGTTGCTAGCTGACAGTGTTCCTGCAACAGAGAGGAAGTTGATATACTATTATAGCAAGCATGGTTGGTTATGACTGACAGGATACAGGGTTACAGTGTGCAGCTCCTCTGTGTCCTTGACTCTGTACTGTGTTCTGTCACAGAGACTAAGTATGTTCTGCATTATATTGTACACGTTTTCTAATATATTTGTTTATTCATCTATGCTCAGCACAACATGTGAAGAGAGAACCTGCTGGTGTTTTGCCTAAAGACTTGAACTGGGAACTTATTGATGACTGATAAGATCCATATTTGACCCAACATGATATTAATCAATTAAGACATTAAGCAAGTATCATGCAGCTAATGATGGTACAGTGGGTAACAAAATCAGAACAGGTAAAAAATGTATTGATAAAGCCTTACGTTCCACAAATACAGGTGTACGAGGTGTGGCGCATCCCCCCTTTGGTGTAGCAGTAGTGCTGAAAAAGGCTGCAAAGAAGAAAAAAAAAAAGACTATTAAAGGGAAAAACCCCCGTAAGAAAAAATTTACTAAACAATTTCTGCACAGTAGAGACCAGAAAAAAAAAAACAGTGTCCTCATCCTGCCCCCATGCTTTAAGAATTCATTCAGCACTCTTTCTTCTCATTCTTCACATTTCAAACGCATCTATGGGTATTTACAGCAGTGCATGCTTTGTAGGTGTACATTTCCTGGTTCTCTTTACACAGCATAGGAAAATAAGCATGACAGGTGTTCTGACACAGCAAATATTCTACTAAAATATACATCAAAATGACTTCTTGTGCTGTGTTTTGCTCCCAGTCTCTTAAGCTTGATTTAAAAGCTAGAAACAACCTATTATGGAGTAGTTGTGTTTCTCTGCTGGAATTTGTGTTTTTGATGAATCAGAAAGTGTTGCTATTGTTTCACTGTGACACAATGACCAACATGACCAAAACCAATACCTAACAATTATACAGTTACTGGAGTTTTGGGCATTTCTATGTTTTTACATCTGAACCAAAAGGGTGTAATACAAACTGCTAGCTCCTTCCCTGCTGCTCATTTCAAATGTAAAATCTAAAGCTTAACTAATCTAGTAAGGATATTTTGCCAAAATATTGACTCAGTGACTGTATTAGCTTGATGTTAATCCAAACGTGGCAAGAGCACAGTTAGCATTCATATGTAAGAGTTTATTACCATGAGACCATTTAAGGCAAAGTCAAATAAAATAAGACCTACTTCAATATCCACACATACTATAACTATAAAAGAGCAGACAGACATTCTGTGTCCATGTTTCGACACAAACCATTCGCTACTATAACTAAATCAATTGAGAAAATGCACCACTTGCCTCTCCATTTCATATTCTTTTAGTCCAGGCTTCACATGCTTCATGACCTACAGAGAAAACGTGTGATTATATGCGATTAACAAACTTAAAAAGCAATCCTGGGCATACCTGCTACTGACACTTAAAATTGATCAAGACGTTTACCTTGTGCAAGAAGCACCAAAACCTCAGAATCATTATCTGGGTGTACCTGACCAAACAGTGGCTTATAACACTCCACCTTCTTGTAATGTAGTTTCATCAGACTGACAGACATCAGATCTTCTCATTTACTGTACACATGTGTAATAACATGACTTTAAAACAGTAATGGTCACACTTGTACAATGGGAGACGAACAGGGAAAAAAACAATGCCGAATACTCATGGTGAATGATTTCAGAGAACAGATAACATTATGAACTGGGCTGCTCCTCAACACCTGAAGAGCCGATTCATATTAAAGTGAAACCCTGTACAGAAGTAAAAAGCTGCTTTAATTTTTCCAGTTTATTGGTCAATGAACTGCTAGCCCCTGAGCTACCAAAGTTAAAATTAATTTAATTTAAACTGTTTACATAGCCTTGGAGTATCAAGACATCTTTGAATCCTTTTGGCAAGTTTTAAATTCTATAAGGCTCTCACCATTTTGTGGGCTTCACTGGAAATTCTGTTGGTGTAGCGCAGGACCTCCAGCTCCATATCAGTCTTAATGAGACGGCTGTTAACACAAACATTATGTGAGAGACCAGCTCTTCCTCTTTGATCATTGCACTGCCCATTTATCAGTGAATAGTCAGAGGAATGTACAGCCAAACATTACACAGTATTCACACTCAACTCTCACATTAAGCTAAAGGAATGCAATATTTGCATTGTCATGGTGGAAATGGGTATTGATCTTGGTAATATGCACTGCTAATATAACAGAACAATCAAAGAATAATGTTGTATATACAGGGAAATGGTGTCAATCTACTGCTGTTGAGCTGCTTAAAATGTTTCACACCAGAATAAAGTGCAACACAACCACTGATTTAAACCTAAGCTTTCAGACAATACGACAACTCAAGTGTTTTTGCCTGTTGATAATAACCATTTCTATTTATTTGCATGAGAAAATCTGAAGCTACACCTACAGTAGAGAAATAAAGATTTCTAAAACAAAGGAATCGAGTCAGTGGTAACCCATAGTAACACTAATGAAAGTTTAAAAAAAAAAAAATTATAAAAAAAATAAAAACAACCTTAAAAACAGAGCCATGCGAGGTGCAGAAAGAGGAGGGGGCAAGGGGTTGAACCGAGTCTTTCTCCCCAGGAGGTGTGCCTGAAAAGCGTTCCTCTTTATTTCAGAAAATGTCAATTCATCTAGGAGGGTGCAAACTCTAATGCCAAGGACAACCAGGCAGGCACGAAGTCCATTACATCCATGCGGGCTGGCTTCTGACTAACAGGGGAAAAAACAGCCAATGAAAAGTGGCTGTTTTTGACCGCAGACACAGAATTGCCTGACCAGGCAGGTATAAGTGCCAAGGTTGTGAAAGCAGCAGAATCTGAATGACAAACCTGTAGGTAATTAAGAATAAAACACACTAATCTCAAGTGGGATTTCTCAATATTAGAAAACAAATTTCAAGAAGAGCACTCAGAAATTGCGAGGACATCCACCAAGGCACAACATTCCCTCACACAAATGGGTACCTTGTGGAAAATGAGACCCAGAAGAACACAAACTGTGTCCTAAAATGCTTGATCCGGATCGGATCTGGATTATCCTTTAGGGTATAATAGGCAGTTATACTGAACATTTCAGGGTTCTATCTTCATTATAGGCCAAGTTAAGGCAGAAAATATTTATTAAATTGGGTTTTCAATGTCAACTTTAAATGGGCATCAGATCCAGAATCCGCATCACTTCTGGATCAAATTTGGTCTGAAGATAGACATTGCCATCCTACACATGTTGAAAAAAATGATTTTGATAACTTTTGACAAATTTGATGATTTCTTAAAATTTGCCCTGCTGATGATCCATCCAGCCGTTTGTCTGTAATCCTGCCACCAACAAACAAACAAATACACAGACATGGAACCAAAAACATAACTGCCCAGGTGGAAGTAATTACTTACCATTCCACAATGACCGGGTGTAAAAGGGTGTTGTTCACTTGAAAGCTGATAAAGTAACAAGAAACATTATAAATATAAAAATGCAATTTGAAGCAAATGGTTATACTACTTCCAAAATAAGTACGGGACTTTCTTTTTGGGTCTAAAGTAGATAAAATGGTGTAATATATAACATTTAAAAAAGAACAAGGTGTTAATGGCCCAGTTATAACAACAACATTAACTGATAACACCAAAAGCGAGACTCTTTCCTTAATTACATTACACTCAGAATTAGGGTAGTCAGCAACAAAGAGTATGCATGACTTTATTGTGTCCTTGGTTATAAAACAAACAAACAAAAAACAACTTCGCCAAACAAAATATAATTATGTCAATACAGATTGATGTCATTTAACATACCGACTAATTCCTTCAAAGGAGGCTTCACGGCAGATGCTCCCGCTATCTGTGTTCTGTCCTCGCTGCCAGGAAAGGAAAACAAACACACAAACAATATTACCACCAAGTGCGTTCAAATGCCAATATGGTACATTAAAATGTTTTACATTCAGGCCGATGACCCATTTTATAATGACAGATGTAGAGTTTTTTTGACAACTCAATAATTACTAAACTTAATTCTTACACTGCATCTTTAGCAGTAGTTCAATGTAATAGCCAGGTTTTTGAAAGCTTGTTAATGGAAGATATTCGATTAGATTCAACTTTATTGTCATTACCCATGTACAAGTACAAGGCAATGAAATGCAGTTTAGCAGAAGTGCAATAACAGCAGTGCAGAGTGCGCAGTATCTACAGTCTGTACAGTCAGAACTAATTTGGTGTCTATGCATACCAGTGTTAGAAGCACTGCTGGTCTCAGGCTGGACAGGACATCAGCAATCTGTGGAGAAACAAACACGAAGCAAATTAGAAAAGTGAGATTCACAGCAGAGCAAAAGAGGCTGCACGCACCAGCCTGCAGGGTAAAGATCACTCTGGCAGGCACCACTGCAGCTACGTGGCTGCTCAGGTAGAGCACATTAAATGACAAACCTCAAGTGATTTTATTACTCCTCTGCCAACAGCCTCAATGTCAGATAACAGATCCTTGAGTGAGTGTTCACAGGTGCTGGTTTGAGAAGGCAACTGTAACTCACTTGACGTACAGTACTTAGAATTTTCCTAAAATGTCATAACAGATACTAAAACAAGTATGTCAAAAAAATGCCAACAGTAAACCATGAAAGTAAAAAATTGCCATATATTTACATTCTTCTCCACAAACTAATGTAATTAAGTGAACTTTTTGTATGTAAAATGGAGCAGTGCTGAGAAAGGTGTGTGTACAACATGTCTGAGTGTTTAAAAGGTAGAAAATTGTTAAAATATACATGAGCTGGTTGCACTAAGGTCAAAGTCTATTTCTCATATGCACAGTTAGGAAACGTGTTTCCCTGTACAACGAAATTCTTACTTTGCTGTCCACATGAATGCCACAAAACACAAATGAAATATAAAGTAGATGAGCAATAACACCAAAGTAAATAGGCAGTAAAATCACAAATCTAAGGCACTTTAAAGCAGCAAGTGAAGGGAGCAAATAAAAATACAACACGAACACAATATAATGCAGAGAATATATGCTACGTGGCAGCCGTGGAGTGTAAATACTCAACAGCGGGTGTGCAATTGTGCATGTGTTAAATGAGTATGTAAATCATACAGATGGTATTACATGAGGTACAGTAGCTGTTTAGGAGTCTGATGGCAGAGAGAAAGAAAGAGTTTTTCAGTCTAGAAGTCCTACATTTCACACTTCTGAGCCTCCGACCGGAGGGTAGGGAGGCGAACAGTCCGTGCTGGGGGTCGGTGGGGTCCTTGAGGATGGAGGTAGCTTTCCTACACACCCTGCGGTGGTAAATGATCTGCAGAGAGGGCAGTGGAGTCCTGGTGATCTTCTCCTCGGTCTTTACCACTCTCTGCAGTAGTGCTGCCATACCAGACAGTGATGCAGCTGGTCAAGATGCTCTCAATGATGCAGCTGTAGAAGTTGCAAAGGATCCTAGGCGACATGCCAAACCTCATCAGCCTCCTCAGGAAGTACAGCCGCTGTTGGGCCTTCTTGACCAGCTGTGTGGTGTTAAGTGTCCAAGTGAGGTCCTCACTGATG